GCACCTGAAAATACAGACAGGCAAGTGATCTGTGAAGCCACAGTGCCATGGAAGGAGATTTCTATTTAAAAGAGAAGAAAACATTTGAGAAGGAAGTGATGAAAGCAGGAAAATAATTTCACTTTTAATTTCACTCATTTTCCATGTAATTTGTCAATACATTTGAACAGATTGATGGGAAATAAAAAAGCTACTGATAAGTTTCTTATACATGCACACCTACCTGCACCAGTGTCTCTTGTATATCTTGCATATATGCAAATTGTATTACATTCAAGGTAAAATATGACTGAAACATCTTTTGCTGTTCTGGCAGCAAAGAGCTAATTTGAGTTTAATTACTTTAAAATATTTTTAAATGTTTTCAAAGAGCCCTCAGTTTCTTTTATGACATGATTACAAAAAATAGATATGTTGGTTATAATTTTCGTATATTTCTCAATAAGCATATTTAATGGAAAAAAATCTATAAAACAAATACTATCTTCTACTTTATTGTATCAGATTTCTCAGTCAGATTCACTCCCAAAGACAGACTATAACTATTTTATCAGGGGAAGGGGAAAAGATTAACTTAGAAATTTTTACTCTTGCATGTTAATTTGTGACACTAACTGCTTCGCATGCAAAAATCTAACTATTCTAATAAATTATTTGAACTCATAATTCTAACAAATTATTTGAACTCATAAAACATCCAGTGTTTTTTATGCTTAACTGTCCCTATGGTCTGAAATACCACAGTTAAATAACTTCAGGTAAGCAGATGCATCTAGAGCTTTTATCCTCATATCTTTTATTTAGTAATTAAAATCCTCACACACTTGCACAGACCATCAGAGGCAGTGCAATGCATATTTCTTATCAGCAGTTGACAAGCCAGCAGCATTCTTCAATTTTTTTTTTAAATATTCCTTTTTTCCCCTTAAAAATTGAAAATATGCAAACTGCTAAAAATAAAATTTTAAAAAATATAAGTTTAAAGTGATTGAGTTGTGAAAACAAGCTGAACTTGTTCTTTATCGAACTGTAGGAGTTGCAGATGAAAGGAGGTGCTATATAAGGAATAGCTAGACTTCAACAGAGAACACGCTGCCAAAACATTTTGGCCTAGATTCTGACAGGCACGCACCCAAGTTGAAGGGTCATGGAAAGCAGCGGTGTAAAGAAACAATCTACAGAGACCAGAAAACATTACACTGCGGATTAGGGCTGCGGCTGGGGGAAGGGGGCAGGGGAGGAGGGCAGAGAGAAGCTGCTTGTTTGCTTGGGGCTTTTTCATTTGAAATCTGGGGAGAAAAACAAAAGATACAATGTCTCGATTATGTGCGAAGGGGGCGGAGAAGATATACAAGCACAATTTCTAAGACAGCAACAAATGATAAAATGTATCTTGTTCTTTTTCCTAAGTTTCTGCAGCTCCTTCTCATTTGCTTTCACGGAATATGTTAGACAGAAGAACAGACGGCAAACTATCACACACAGCTCCCGAAGAAGGCCAACTTTCAAAAAATTCATACTCTGTAATTTGATTAGACCCTTAATAAACATGTCAAAGTTTTTATGAAGAATTCTGGATCTTGCTATCGTTCATGCTCAGAAGTAGTACAGAGCACCATGAAAAGAAAATAAAAATCTAATTACAATAAGATAGAGATTTGTGAAAGGTCCAGACTGACTTAATACCTTCATTAATGACAAAGGAAAATTAACAGTTTTCAATTCTTGCAATTCAGAGGAGAAGAATATTAATAAAAAGGGAGCTGAGAATTAGCTATGTTTAGTTTAACTTGGAAAAGCACAGGCTTTTCCAAGCTGTGCTGAGCATCCTCACCTCACATATTCCAGTGAGGATGGTGGAAGGCAATCAAAGAAAGATGATTGCAAAACAATACTCATGTTAAGCAAGGAGATGCCTAGGTATAAAACAGATGCTCAGTATGCACCAAACAGAGAAACTTCTCATTATAGGCTACAGAAAGGCTCTCACTGGGACAAGTGAACTCAAACTTTTGTGTGTGCATCCACTAACACCAAAATAAAGAAGTTTCATCAACAGAATCACAAACACACACGCACACTCCTGAGACTGGCTTAGAGTAAGCAATGAAACAAAGTTTGTGGCAGTTATTAAATTCAGTAGGGCATAACTCTATTTGTGGATATCAAATGTATTTAATAAGAGTGCAACAACCATACATTAAGCTAAGCACAATGACAGAACAAGCTACCAGCAACTGTATTCCACTAAACCTTCAAAAAGGTCTGAGTGTCTGCAATTAACAAACCTCTGACTGGTGCAACACATCAGTATTCTTGATCCTTGGCAATAGAAGCTAAAGTCTCTAGCTGCTGACATGCTATACACACCAAAAAAAAAAAAATTAATCTTATGTTTCCTAGATACAATTGTTCAACTCCTTGACAAGCTTCACCTACTCTGGTCAGAAGATATTGAACATTCTTTTCCACTTACCTAACACATACCCCACAGTACCAACCTGACTGCTTGTACTTGCAATTCAAAATGGGCTGCATGCCACTTTTCCAGCATAAAATACCACAGACCATATAAGTTATCATAACTTCCTACTCTTCTTACACCAGTGAACAAGCTTTTAGAAAATCTTTACGTAAGTGTTACCTTTGGTGTTAACATTAGTCTGATGAGTTTGGAGTAAAGCAAAAATCACTGGTCTAACTTAACTATGGTTTTGAATGAAAAGACATTACACATGGGAATATTTTATTTTAGCTGTTCCTACAACATACCAGCTGTGTTGATGGTACATTTCCCTTCCCCTGGTAAAGGGCTCATAGATGCTTACGTAATTTTACAATTCTGATACAGAGGCATTAAATTATACACACCAAAGTCAGACACAAGGATGGATGTAACCTGGTCAGACCAGCACTCCTTTAGCATATTTCTTAATCGATGACATTTCAAACGTCTCAATTAAAAACTAATTTATAGGAGGACCAGGAGGAAAAGAAGAAAAGTCCCCGACTATACATCAGTCCTTTAAAGTCTCAAGAGTGTAGATACTTTTATTAATAGCAGGTTTCAAACCAGTATCGTATGATAAAGATCTCAAATGCCTGCCCAACCGATGCACCCGATGCAATTGCAAGTACTATTCAAACGGGGGGAGGGAGGGAAGAAAGAAAAACGAGAGCCTTAAGTCTTTTTCAGCCAGTCAGTTAGTCCTTGGTGTAATACTTCACGCCGCAAACAATAAGAGCACGGTCACAATAAAGCTTCACCCAAGCAAACGAAGGATGCTTCATAAACTACAGCGGAGCAGGTGGGGGTGACGGTCCGGGACACGAGTCCCCAGTGTCCCCCGCATCACCCCGGCACAGCACGGGAGATGCTGCCCCCTCTTCCAGGAGCGGCCGCTCCAGCCCCAGGCTCTCTGCTCCGAGGTTCCGCCGGGACCAACAACTCACCACCGCGCCGGCCGCAGCTCCCACCGCCCGGCCCCGCGGGCTTTAATTCCGCAAAACCCCGTGGTGTTGGGCGGCCAGGAAGGAAGGGGCGAGAAATTCGCGGCTTTCACACAAAACAGACGCCGACCCTATCGGAGCTTTCCCTCCCGTTTCTCACCCGCCACTCTTTTTGTAATGTTGGGAGGGGGGATCCCGGTGGCCCGCGGCAGCTCGTGTCTCCCCGCCCCACGCCTCGGGGCGAGGGGAGCGGCCGGGCTGCGCTCTCCGCGCCAGGCAGGGAAACGCCGGGAAAAGTTTGAGCGGGGGAAGGGGCGACAACAGCTCCAACCCCGCCGGCACCTGGGAGGCTGGCCCGGGGAGAGAAGGAGGAGGAGGTGAGGAAGGGGTGTTCGTAAGGTGCCTGAAGCCCACGCTCTGCCCGCCCCTGCCAGCCCCGCGCCGGCAGCCTGCTCACACGCGTGGGTCGCCCACCGCGCCCCGCAGACCGAAGGGGTTGGGGGTGTGGGACAGCCCCCCTGCAGCCCCACCGCCGCTCCTCGGGCAGGAGCCGGGTCCCGGAGCATGCGGGACCTTCCCAGCACTCTCCCCTTCCTTCCCCTCCCTTTCCCGGCAGGCAGCCCGGGCACGGCGCGACCCCGCCGGGCCGCCCGCCCGTACCTGGGCGCCGAGCAAGAACTCACCTGCCGAGAGCTGGGCCCGGGCCGCCCCGAGCAGGGCGGGCGAGCGTCCGGCCAGCAGGGCGAGCGCCGCCAGCAGCGGCAGCGAGGCGGCGGCGCCGGCCCCCCTGCCCATGCCGACTTGCGGAGAAGTTTCTGAAAGAGGCCGGTGCTGCCCCGGCCCGCGGCGGCGGGCGGAGCGCACCTCGACCGCCCCTCTCGCCGCGCCCCTCGCCAGGAGAGCCCCGCGCCGAGGGGCGCCCGCTGGCCCCGGGGCCGCCCGCTGGGGCAGCCGTCTGCGGCGCGACGAGCGCGGCGGTGGCACCGATTCCCCTCGTACTCCGGAGTTACTTTGCTGCTGAGCGAGTGGGGCGGGAGGGAGGAGCCGAGCGCGCACGTCCAACCCCCGCTCCCCGGCACTTGGCACGGGGAATGTGGGACTCCGGCCCGCAGCCCCGCGCGGGCGCAGCGGCGCCCGGCAGCGCCTCCTGCTGCAGGCGCGGCGGCAGCACCGGCTCGGAGCGGCGCTGCCCGGATCGCCTCCGCTCCGCTCGGATCGCCTTCCCCTGGCGCGGCTTTCCCTGGCACAGTTCGCCTCGGCTCTTCTCCGCTCTCTCCGGCACGGCGCAGCCTGGCTCAGTGCGGCTCCGCTCGGCTCGGCTCGGCTCAGCACGGGAGCAGCTACAGGCGGTTGTGCGAGCCCCCCGCTCTCAACCTCCCGCCTGAGGGAAACCTGCTGCTTCTGGAGGAGAAGGAGGAGAGGGGCGGAAGGGAGAGGGCGCCGGCTGAGCCGGAGGGGCGGGAGGTCGGGGCAGGGAGCGCGGCCGGGGGCGGCGGGTCTCGGGCGCTGGTTTCGGGGGACGGTCCCCACGCCGCCTCGGGTGGCATCTGTTGGCTCATCCCGCTCTTGGAAACGCCGTATGGATCGAGTGGCGAGCGTGGTATTAAGAGCGCGCATCAAACAGCCTGGCTGTATCCTCGAGTCAGGGTTCGTGTTTTTGCTTTCTTTGGCAACACTTGTCTGGCTCCTAACGCCAGTAAAGGCTTATTGTTCTCAGTTGGAATGGTAATAAACAGTATTGCTATTATCCTATCATTTCCACGCGTGATCACTATCTGACCTTTCAGACAGGTCTGTGTGCAGCTGTGCGACTCTGACACCCGTGGGCTGTGACAAAGGATACTCTCTCCTGATCCAGACCCCAGGTATGCCCTAGAATAAAGGCCTTGTTCTCTGTTTCTAAAAGCACTGCAGGTCCTTATGCTTCCAGAGCTTAGAACTCCAAAAAGCATTTGGAATAACAGAAAAAGTCACCAGTGCTGGAATTTATCTTTAAATAAACATAATCTCCTCAAATGATTTTAACTTATTTTTTTATTAGATTTTCTTTTTTGCATGGCAACTTGTAATTAGAGATGTTGTATAATGATTACAACTGAAACTGAAACCACTGGAAACACACAGGTTTTATTGCAAATTCGAAATTCAATCCAGGTTCATCAAGGGTTTGCTGTGATTCAAAATCCTTTCCAGCCATTGTCTGGCAATTGATGAGTTTACCTTTAAGCCCCACAAGCCCTTAGGTTTTCACAGCAGAAAAAAAAGTGAATCACAACGTGTTATACAAAATACCATCGTTCACACACACCCAACCTTAAAAAAACTCTACACCTGGAAAACCCTGTCCTTCCTTTGGGTGGAGTGGCTGAAAACCCACTTGCATGCTTACCCTGAACTGTAAAATGATGTGCTTCAGTGAACACTGACTCTTTGTTTGAACTTCAAGAAGAATGGGAGCTGTGTGAGACGATCTCATGACACCCAGTATTTCAGGAAGGATAGGCCATGTACCAGATGGGAAATTTTTCTGAGCAAGGTGAAAGAAGAAAAGTGTGCCAGCCCAGCTTCTGATGCCTGAGGATGCATGACCATTTCTGTTGCTAATGAAAAAGATGTATCAAGTCATACTGGTGTGAGGGAGTACATGGGTATCTGATGCCTGCCTTTATGCTGGGAGCTATACAACTAACACTGTAAAAGTGGCTCCAAGCCAGATAACTCGTGAGTTGTTTGGGAGGGTAGAGGAGAGGAAGACTAATGTCTCCTTCCTCTTTACCTCCATGACATGCTTGCAGCTATCTCCAGTGGTCAGCACTGCAGATTGCCATGTCTGGAGTGGGGGAGAGGTTGTTAGCTGATGGTGAATGTGCAGCTCCAGGCTGTGGCTTATTTCATTGCTCTGAAGTGATGGATCCCACTGATGATGTACAATCATCTGGGCTATATCCAAACAGCTTACATATGTTTCAGTAAGAGTCTCTTGAGATTTCATCCTTTCCCATTATTCCACTACTATTAAAAAGCAACGAAAAGTACTTTGATAGCTACTCTTTCCTTGACTAGAGAGTTCAGCCTTGAGAGGTAGGGGTGAGGTGTGGATGTGACTCCACTTTTTCCTCACGTGTGTGTGCATCTGTTGAACTGTTATGTGTAGCTCACTGTATGTGTCCTTCTACCATACTTGGCATCCTGACAAATACACTTCAGGTTTGAGATTTTTTTTATGCTATATGACATGAATGGATTTATTTTTTACTCCAGCTTTTATATTTTTAGAGCTCTAAATGTTTTACAGGTTTCCCATTTTCAGTTAAGAGCAAGCAAATCTATATTACCTGTTGCATGTCTTTTAAAAACTGTCTGAGCGAACAAACTCTATGCTAAATACAAGTCTAATATAACAGCAGAATTATGGAGACACTCCATAGTAAAATCATTCCCTCCAGCCTGAGGGCTGTTTGGAACTTAAGGAAGGTATGGTCTTTATCTTAATAATTGCAACATCTAAATAAAGTGCCAAATAAATCTCTGTCAGTTTTAAGAAACTGGTTCTGAAACTCTACTAGATGCCTCTACCCTCTTTGCATTCCCAGTTAAAACTTTCCCTTTATAGTTTTGGGTGTTGCTAAGCCTGTCATAACATTTTTTTTAGCACAGGCTATCACTTAATTTATCTGTAGTGACTGACAGATGTCTAGCACAATATATCATTTCACAGAAAAATATCTTAAATTAGCAGTATTTCAGTGCTATATGATAGAATCCACATTTTCCTATGGTATTTGAACAGTATGTAAAATCTAGACATGTTATAGTAAATTACATATTCCTAACCAGGAAAAATATTTCCCTCTTCCTTTTTTTCTTTTTCAGGAACCTTTAACCACTGTCCTAGAGCACAAGGAGATTTGGGGAGATTTAAATGAAAATTTTCAAAAAAGATAGTCAAGTATTCTCATTATCCTGCTGCTCCCATCCAACTTTCCACCTCTCTGCACATTTACTTCCTTTGAGAAAATCTGCTCATTTATTTTGTGAGCCTTAGCAAGATCCCAGGCCTTGAAGTTCTGGCTCTTCGAGGTTGGAGATCCTAAAGAATATTGAGAATTGTATTGATTCAGGTTTTGTTGGTGTTATACAACAATGCCCATGGCAGGCATTTCATTGTAGTTTGACTTCTGAAAAGAATACCTCTATGAAATATACTTCCAATTTCAGTTAAATGTGTTATTTTAAAGCCTAGTACTCACAGAGCCTTTTTGAGAACTTGCTAATTTGGCAGAGAATCAGAGCCAACACTCTTTTCTTAAAAAGAGGACTGAAGAGGAAGAGACAATGCTGAGAGTCTTACTGACTCCTTTCAACAGCCTCCCCGCATACAGCTGCTTTTTGGAAGCAAATGTTAGGCAGTCAGAAGATCTAAAAAGTAAGGGGATTCACTGCTGTATATCGTGTGTGCACAGGGGGACCTGAATAACACCTTCCAATTAGGAACATCCCACGTTCATCCAGCTACTTGTGATACAGGGACCACATACATACATGGTACCAGGACATGCAACAGCTGAACTGCCCAGGTATCTCTGCAGCTCTTGCTCACATTCTTGTCATCAAAGATAGTGACAAGCTCGTGTGACCACAGAGATTACTATGTAGCATTTTGTTCAGTCAAAGAGTGGCCTCAGTGATTCTGGAAGTCTTTTCCAACCTTAATGATTTTATTATTCTATTCTATCATTGTTTAATTTCCCATCCTGAGCCTCCCATTCTCACCATAACTGGAAATGTTCACCTTTCAGGGCAGAAGTTTCCATCATCTACCCAGAGATGGGATATTGCTTGGGTCTGCTTGTCATTTCTGCAGTTTTGATAAAATAACCTGTGATTTTTTAAAAAAATAGCACATTCCCTGTTGTTGACCAAATGCTGTCTTATTTTTTCTTTGAGCAGACAAAATAGTTGACAACTGAAATATAGCATGGGAATAGTCTTCAAGAAGGAGCAAGGCATGGCCTTGTTCTGTAATAAATTGTTTTACTGAATTCTATCCCTTCAAAATTACATTGTACTGTGCATTCCTCATGCCAGGGTCCAGCCCAGAAAGAAACTGGTCCCTGAGTTGTCTAAACATCAAAGAAAAAGTTCTGTACAAGTGTCTGTTTTAATTTTTTTTATTTAATAGGGTCTTGTTCTGTAAGACACTGTTTGGCTAAAGCAAGGGGCACCAGGAGCTGGTATTTGGAAGATAGATAACTGAAATTCAGAATATCTGAGTGATTCATCTACCAGTGATTATCAAGGCATTAAACTTCACAGAACCTCTTGGTTTTGAACAAGTTCTTGCAACACTTTTTCTGTATGTATGTGTTTAAGCAAATGCACCTTTCCACATTGCCTATAAGCCTTTTACCAGTTGACTTCTACCCCCATGCCATTCATCACAGCTTCATGCTCATATTCCTCATTAGAAACATAGGAAGAAACATTGGTTTTTGCCATTGGAGAAGACACCAGAAAGACTTTAGAAGTTTCTGAGGACTTGCTAAAGTACATTGCCCATTGCTATACTGGTTGCCCAATTCTTTTAGATTATTGTACCTGTACCTGCTGCTTGCAGTGGTTTGAAAGCATGAAGAGCTTTAAAGTCCACAACACTAAAGTTGAGCTTGAACTCAGCTGAAGTCATTCCTTCAGGTCTTGGAACAGCTCCAAAAAGATACCTCAATGTGCCCTGCACACACACTTGTGAGAAACTGTGAAGAAAAATGGACAGATGACCTTAGAACATTTGTTGCCACTGAAGTGCAGTAGACAAAGATATCCAACAGTAGAAAATGGTTGAGTTGGATGAGGTCTTGCAGGTGTTAATCTGATGTAGTGAAAACAAGAAGCTGATAGAAAAATGAGTATAAAAGGAAAATATATAGATAGGTTTTGAAAAATGGGTATAAAAGGAAAATATATAGATAGGTTTTCTAGAACCTATCATTTTAGCAGCAGCTTTTGGGGCTAAATAGTTGTCTATGATCAGGAGGACAAACCACACAATCGCTTCTGTTTCCTTATTAGGTAAACCTGCATATACTTGTAGCTTAATTGAGTAAACATGCACATTTAAAATTCAGGGTATAAAATGTTTGTAAAAAGTTAACAGATGAAAGAAACAAACTTAAAATCAGCATGATGCAAAATAACATTGCACTTTTCCACCTTTAACTCAGGCTTACCATGTTGTGATTAATGCAAGAAACATGCAGATATTTTGTGCATAAAAAAGAAATGCAGAACTGGGTAATTTTGTCTTGAGAACTTTTAAGGAGCATGCAGTTTGTGAATTGTCAAGTGATAGGCCTTGAAACACTTAAAAATAATTTTGGGGTTGCGGGTGGATGAGAGGCTGTACATAGCCCAGAAACATGTACTCACAGCCTAGAAAGCCAGTTCTAGGGCTGCATCCAAAGAAGTGCAGCCAGGAGGGCAAGGAAGGGGATTCTGCCCCTCTGCTCCTCCCTGGTGAGGCCCCACCTGCAGTACTGCATCCAGCTCTGGGGTCCCAGGCACAGGAAGGACATGGACCTGTTAGAGCGAGTCCAGAGAAGTGACACCAAGATGTTTAGAGGGTTGGAGAACCTCTCTTATGAGGACAGACTAAGAAAATTGGGCTTGTTCAGCCTGGAAAAGAGAAGGCTTTGAAGTGACCTAATTGTGGCCTTCCTTTACTAGAGGACAGTATCCATGAAAGATGAAGAGAGACTACTTACAAGAGTATGTAGAGACATGACAGAGGAAACAGCTTCAAATTGTAAGAAAATAGGTTTAAATTAGATACAAGGAAGAAATTCCTTAATGTGATGGTGGTGAGGCACTGGAACAGGTTGCCCAGAGAAACTCATCCCTGAAGTGTTCAAGGCCAGGTTATTTTTCCCCAAAGTTTAAGAGATTTGGGGGTTGTTGGGAGATTTGAGGAGACATCTCAAAGAGGCATCTGAAATGCATTTGTAAATGTCAAACCATGGGTCTCTTTACTGACAAAAAAAAAAAAAAAATTCAACAACTTCATTTGAATGGTGTGATTTATCTTAGGAGAGTAGTGGCATACAAGTAATCCATAGCCTCAAGGCCTCTCACAGTGCTGCTATGTCCACTTGTGCTACATTCAGTGATCAGTTTATTAAGGGGGTTTGGAGGCGAATTATTTAAAAGTACAATAAATTGAGAATTCAGTCTTCCCTCCCTTAATGGATATACCATTCTTGAGATTGCCATTAGATCCTCAACAGCACATTGTTGATCTCTTATCTGAAAGAAGACATATATCACAAAATTTTGAAGTGAAATAAGTAAAGTTTATCAATCACAAATGACTTTTAAGTAACGCAGAACTCTGTAGTGTTGAGGAGATCTGATGGGATAGGTAGTGACTTTGTTTGGCTTATCCAGGCATAAATGTCCTATACAGGTTATTGTAAAACCTGTTACCAAAATGAAAGAAAGGCTTGGCTTGGAAGAGAGTCTCCCTGTAATAACTGTTGGTTTTATAGTGGTCTGTTCCAAATTTCTGTGAGATCCAAATTTTTCTTTCCACCTCTTCTTGTTAATTGGAAATTGATATATATGGGGGTGTTGAGAAGTCTGCCGGAATATAAAATGGTCTAAAGAAAGCAACCCTGAGCATAAACAAACATGAGTAAGTGACAATATAAAAAACATTAGCCAATGCTCTGGCACATTTATCCATTACAAAGGCATTAATTCAGGTTCTTCCTGTTAACCAAGAGATGGCTATGATTTGAATAAGAGCCTGAAGAAGCCCAGTATATGATTCAACCTTACCCTCACAAATTTTAATGATAGCCTAGAATAAAAATTGGAATCTGCAATCAATCAGTCCATACTCAAGGGAACAGGAATATGATTAAAGATATTTTAAGTCCGTGACTATACTCATATTTATTTTTGTAATCTCACTGGCTTCCAGCTGAAATCAAAACTGGGTCCCATCTATGTGCACTTCATATCTGTGGCTATACTGCTGATCAGTGACAGTCCACCAGAAAAGGAAAGTTTACACCTGGCAGAAGTTTTCTGATATTACCCAGAGAAAAAAGGAGATCTGGGCAGGAAAAGATGCTAAGCAAAATATAGCCCTCTCTTCTTCAGCCTGTGATGTAAATTTGTCAGCTGAGGTAGGGATGTATGACCTCTCAAAGAAGGAGGAATAGATATTGAATTATTTCTCCATCTCATATAAACCTGAGGAATTGTTAATGCTCTGAAAATACTTTTGAAGAAACAATTACTAAAAAATCATGGTTGCCATCTTGTCTACAGTTTTAGGAAGATTTCATCCCCAAGGGAAATTAATCAAGACACATTAATACATACTCAGCAGACTCACAAGTCATAACTGATGTCTGGTAGAGTGATTGCTCATGTCACTCCACAAAAGCTTTCTCTATTAGAACAGTCTTTCATAAGTCTGCTACTAAACTTCTCTTCAAAAGTGGAAAGTCTCATCAGGTAAATCTTACAGACTCATAAAGACTTTGTCTCTGGGGTCTGACAGTTATATTCTGGTTGTTCTTAGAATATTACTATTGTACTTAGAATATTACTATCTCAGTTTTTGTGTACTTTAACTCCAAGATTTCAGTGTGGCTTTCAGATATCTACCATAAAACCCTAAGTTTCCACTTTTATGTTCCTTCATTTTAGAGCTGAAGTTTTCAATTCTCAGTTTTTAAAATAAGCTACTGAAATGGAAAAGGCTACCTATTCCAGGAATAGAACTGTATTTATCTTATCCAAAGTAGGCTACCTTCTGCCCAAAGAGTTTATCGGCAGTTGAATTACCATACTCTCTTTGCTGGATGGAAAGTGACTCACTCTGAATTACTGTATTTCAGGATGTTGAAGCTGTGTGTAAAGTTGTTCTATTCTTCTCTTTTTTTTCTTTCTTTTTTTTTTTTCAGTTCTAAATTTAAAACTCACATTTCTTCTATCCAGTTTTAGTTGTGTAATACCTGGAGGATTTCTTCCTTCTCTAGAATAACTTCATAGGAACAAATCAGAAAAGTAGGAGAGAAAAGCATTTTGGAAGACAATGCTACCTGAAACAGGATACTGTAATACATTTAAATATAATTTTATCTGAGTCTGGAGAGTGTTGAAAAGTAAAATCTTTGTAGATCAGAATTAGTGGGGTTTACCTGGAAGTTTGTAAGAGAATTTTTTGTA